AGCTCTGATGAAGAAGAGGCTGTTGCTCGTTTTGCTGGCCCAGCTGATCTCGAACCAGCAGTTCCGAAGAAGAAGACGGATTTTGCGACGGAGACTTTTCGTCAGGCGAAGAAACCTCGCCGGGCTGCTGTAACCAAGTACATCGACGTGCTGCGAATGATTCCTCCTACCAGCAATCGATGCGAGTGCCACTTCTCGCGGTGCAAGTTGGTGTTCAATCATCTACGCACCAGTCTGCTACCAGCTAACTTCGAGTTGCTGGTGTTCCTACGTGCCAACCGGGAGCTCTGGAACTTCACATCTCTGTTGGGGTTCCATGAGGCGGCCGATGAAGACGCAGAGTAGATGAAAGTCACTCAAGAAGTGCTGCCTCTTATAGTTGATATTGTTTTCAATCATAAAATATATGAGGTCGAAAAATTTCGTACGCAAACCCAATTTCGCTGGTGGACTGTCTTGACGTCGCACGCGCATTTTTGTTTGCTAGAGTACCCCTAAGCCAGGACAAAGGTCCCGGTGGCAGCCACCAGCTTCTCGTACAGGTGTGGAACTCGAACCCTGCCCAGTAGGTCGCATAACCAGTTGTATTATAATTCGCGAGCTACATTTTGGGCAATAAATGTGTATGCACAAATCGAACACTCGTGGTTCTTCTAGAAGATCGCCAAGATCGTTAATAACGCAGCCCGTTCCTACCATGCTGTTTTGTCTTCGAACTAAACTACTTCTAATTAGTTACCCGGCAGTTGCGTATCATCTGAGTCGCAGATTACATCGTCGTGGCCTGGAAGATCGTCAAGCGTCATGCGGTGGCGCAGTCTCTTTCGGCTCCGGTACTTGTCCTGCGACAGACGTCGTTTTGTTTTAATAGTGTTGTCAATAGAGACCTTGTGCAACAGTCACAAATAAAAGAAAAAAAAACTGTGAGGTGGGAAGAGGTTAGGGTAAGACCGTCAGTGTATTTTTTGGAGAGAGAAAAGTACATTAGTTCCCTGCTCACTGTGACCACAAGTAACAATCAAAAACGAGTGGCTAGAGCAACCAAGAAGGCGGCATGGCTGACGAAGCTACCAGCCTCCAAGAAGACACCCCCGAGCCAACGGAAGTCTCCAGCAGGAGCGACACTCAGTCTAAGCGGAAGAAGGCCTTCCGGTTCGTACCATCTAGCGACATCTTGTTGCTGAAAGAAGCTGTGAAGCACCGACCTTGGGCTGCTGGTCACGGAGAGACCCAAGTATCCTTGTCCAGCTTCGCCATTGGACTCAAGACAGCTCTACCATCGTGTACAGCCGATGGAAAGGCCTGCCGTCGCCGCTTTAATGCCCCCTTAGATGTTTTTCGACGCGATGAGCTGGAGTTCCGTCGATAAACCCAACACATGTGTGTAAGGGGGCTCCTTTAGAATGAATAGCACTCGCGTACGTGCTTAGTGTCGCCTTTGTAAGTCGAGCGTGGTCGAACTGAAGTAGATGATGAAACGTGCTATAGAGGTGGTCTAACATCGCATTCGAAATTGACGAAATTGCGGTTTCATTACGGCCGAACAGGTCCTGTAGATCGCTCAAACGTGCTGGATACGCCATCCGCCGCAGAAATATACAGAGAGCCTCGAAAGCTGACACGAGGTAGCGCTGGCGAGTTGGAAATGGGTTTGGTAGCTTCAATATGTCAACGAGGTCTAGGAGCTCCTCTTTCTCGAAGCGGAATTACGCTTTCCAAGCTGGGTCTGTCGAGGGCAGGCCGAAGTTAAAGCGACTTAGCTGTTGAGCGTTGCTGGACGGTGTTAGCAGCACAGCTAGCATCACTTCATCATCGCCTGAGCTGGAGCTGTCACTGTCCATTCGCTTTGTTCTTTTCAAATGTGACTACTGCACAAGACTGTAGTCACATATGTTCCCCGTCTAATCGAATAATCACTCACTGCACATTTTTACTGTTATGAAACCGTTGCACAAGGTCTCTAATAGCACGTAGTCTGTTCTCCCGCTGTGCGTAGGCCTCACCGTTGGTATCTCGCAGTGGGTTTGACTCAATGTGGAAGTTGGTCAAACCCACACAAACTTGGAAAATATCGTCGTACAAATCCTCGCTCCAGCGGTACTTGTCCGCAACAATGCGCCACAAACTGCAGAGCCTCCCAAAGAAGTTTTCAACGAGGTCTCGGTCACTAGAGATGTTTTCATTTCGGCGCTGAACCTCGGGCGGGAGGTTCGAGCCTTTAGTCGGTTGGATACAGCGAAGGTGAGCTTCCAGCCCCTGGTAACCTTTATCGGTGAGGACTGCCCATTCTCTGGAAAATTCCTCGCGCAACGGGCCCTCGTCCGGAATTTGGTTGCCGGTCTCCGACTTCACGCGCATGCTCGAGTGGAACTCCATGTTGTTCCGGAAGATCGAAATGTCAGGCGTGTTGCCGCGCTCGTGCTGGCTGCAGTTGATAGCGAAGCCTTTAGGGTTTACAGACACCTCTACCTTGAGGCCGTACAGTTTGTGCTTAGCACTATAGTACGGCATCACTTCGGTCATGTTTCCAGCAGGTCGATTGGCCTGTTGGAAAGTGACGTCCGTCGCATTTAACGCGCACGGGTAGTGACTAAAGGTGTTTCCGGAAGTCACCAGCCGCCGCATATTGGTCTCTACCGCTTTTCCTCGCACCCACTCGTCGTAAACGCGCTGCGCAAGTACACGACAAAACGACGTTATCGTCTTGATAAACGTCGGGGTTTTGATCAGGAAAACGTGCGCATTCATATCCCAGGTGCCTCCGTGCTTGAACGCAGCTAACGTCATGAAGAGAACGTCCTTTCCAGCAAACTGAGAGCGACGTCCTCTTCCGACGTTCCAGTAGCGCGTGACGTGCAGCCGCACTATGGACCACAGTACGTTGAGTTCGCAAGGAGTGAAGTTGGTCGGGCGGCTTACGGCGTCAGCTCCTCCTTCCATGTACCACGTGTCAAAAATCGGGCACGGTGAGTCGACATCCACGTCGTCATCATTGCGGCGCACGCTTGAAAACCTGTCGAGCTCAGCGCGGCGGACGATGTCTCGATCATCAAGCATTCTCAGCATTTGCTGGCGGTGATCTTCTTCCGTAGTGTGAGAGCGGCGACCAGTGCGACCTGACATCTTGGGCGAGTTGGGTGGATGTTTTGTAGCTTGGTAACTATTAGGTTAATTGCGAAGTGATTAAGTTTTAACAGTTGGAGTGGCAAACGTTGTCGTCATAAAGTACCTTCAAGTAGCTGCACATAGTTCTAGAAGATCGATAGCATCGCTAATAGATCTAGAAAGTTCGAATGTGTATCATCTAGAAGAATTTACGGTCAGTTGTGTAATTTTTGCAAGTTGTTTAGTGCTCTGCACAGATACTCGCTGGGTGATTTGTAACTGGTTTTTAGGTCTAGTGGATAAAAAAAATGGTAGGGTCATCCCTAACCACTGCACCGTTCTAACCTACCAATTTTGCCCAATAATTGCAATACTTCTTTTTGTTTTTGTCGATACGGAATTACGGATTATGTTTCTTTTAGAAATCCAATACAATATTTTATTTTATTTTCCGAGCCTTGGCTTGAGCCGATGCTCACGTTACAAGAACGATTTCGAGCTTGATCGGTCTTATAGGACAAAACCTACAAGGATGCGCGCTGAGCTATCAATTAAGCTGGCTCAAAATTGATCCGAAACTCGCTGTACAAAGTCGAACGTGTGAGCCACAGTTCGTCAGTCCAAACCCCTCACGCTACCCGTGCTTGCGTATGTTGAGACCGCTGCCATTTTTTTATGCTTGACTTACCATCGGCTGAGTGGCTCGAAGAAAGGAAGGTGACACCAACCTCTGCCCGTGCCGCCGTGGTTGGCCAAAGTGTCCAAATACGGCCTGATCCAATAAATTATCGACATACTGAGGGTGGGTGGTATATGTGCAGGATGAGCAAGGCGAATTTCCAGCAGAGAGCTGCCGGCATGACGAACTTTTGCATAGCTCTGGTACATAGATCCTCAATGAGACTCTTCATCAATCAACTCGACAAGTTCCACCAAGTTGAAGGAGCTTGTTCAACGACAGGATGGCAGGCACCACAGGCGTGGTCCTCCTCCCGCCTCCAAAAGCAAGTCAATTTCATCATGACATGGCCAGAGGATGTGATTCGGAGGGAACACGAGCAAATCCCTTCAGATTTAGAATTTAGCAAGTAGGTGTGTTGATGTGATATCAAGTGCACCGCGTTTTGCGTATTAAATATCACGTCTCGCGGGTTTGTGTTGCTTAACTGAGTTTAAAAAAGCTTACTTCACAAATATGATCGACTTCGACAGGATGCAGATTTTGAGAGGCACCGAAGTTCAAGTCTGAAGTTAACTCAATCTTCAGCAAACCGGATACCTTTGCGTATCCGTCGCTCCCCCTCGCTACTTCAATGACGTAGCAGACCCAAGCGGAATTATCCCCTCCCCTTGGCCAAGAGGCTAATAATACCAGGCGGAGCGACAAGTAGCCACGCACATCCCGCACGAGAAGAGCAAGCCAGCCCTTCCACCCGACGTCGTAAGCTCACTTTTCATTTTCCTGTCAAGTTCACCAGCCACCACTCACGCACACACCACTGCCACAATGGTCTACACGATCGTCGTCCACCTATACGCCAAGGAAGGCAAGGAGGTCGAGGAGAAGCTACGCAACAAGCTGATCGAAGCCTCGCAGGTGTACTCCAAGGACATCGAGACCATCGGCTGGCACGTGATGCAGGACCACCAAGACCCGCGCAAGTGGTGCATCGTCGAGCGCTACGAGCACGAGAGCAGTCAGAAGTACCACCTGGAAAACCCGTACTGGAAGACGTTCGACCCGTACGTCATCCCCCTGCTGGACAAGCCGATGGATCTGCGCCGCTTCAACGAGCTGGACACGAGCAAGCCCGTGCACGTCGAGTAAGCGCGCGAGCGAACGAGTGAGCGAGTGACTGTCTGAGTACAAGTTGGTCTTTTCAAGGCGTTCCATGTGAGGGTAGATGGAGCTGTGGTGCCGTCATTGCGTAGTGGAACTCTCTTAAAACACTTGCGATATGAGGAGCGCTTCCGATCGATCGACATGTTGAGATTCAGTTACTAGAATCCTTTCGAGAAGTCATAGTCCGCGCCCACGTTGGCAGCAATAGTAGAAATATAAGAAAAGAAAATTTAATAGCACGTTGCTAGATCTAGCAGAAGTAGAAATTGTTAAAGAGATACTGGTAGTGCTCTTTAACAATTAAAAAAATCTTGCAGTCTTTAACCCTTCAACATATTATAAGATCAGTACTGTGCGTAACACCCGTAGAGCTCTTTATGCTGCACCAGTGTTCATTTTCTACAAGCTGGGCATGACGAAGTCCGTGAATGTCTAAGCATCAAGAACAACATTGTGCGTTCTGGGGGCAGCATCAACTTACTACATGTACCCTAGCGACAGCGGCTGCTGCCAAGTACTATTACGTATGCAAGTAGTGCATGTCCACCTTGCATTACGCCGAAGTTGAAGTTGTCACCAACAAACGTAATCGTAAACATTTTGCGTGCAAATGCTACAGCATTCGTCATTTTTCAATCTCCCCCGTCGTTAGTGATCGACACGAAGCAACATGGTGTACACGATTGTCTGCCACCTGTACGCCAAGGAGGGTAAGGACGTTGAAGAGAAGATCCGCAGCAAGCTCGTCGAAGCCTCGAACGTGTACGTGAAGGACGCGGGAACCCTGAACTGGCACGTCATGCAGGACCACGCCGACCCCCGCAAGTGGACAATCGTCGAGCGCTACGAGAAGAAGAGTGTACGTTATGCGTTTCAGTGGGTTTTGAGCATGGTATTATACTGACGTGGTTCATTCGAAAAGAGCCTGAAGGTTCACGTGGCCAACCCGTTCTACGCCACGTTCGGGGCTTACATGGCCCCACTGCTGGCCAAGAAGTTGGAAATCCACCAGTTCAACGAGCTGGACACGAGCCGTCTCTGATTACAGAGCAATCGTTGTCACCGGTGCTTGAAATGAGTTAGCCTACCTGATCCTGGTGGTAAATCCTGGTCCAGGATTCCTGGAGCTTTTAATCTACAGAATCACTCGTACAAACTCTTAGTACTCGACAAATAACTTGCGATGAGCTCTTTGCTGAGACTACTTAAGTTGTGATGCAGTAGCTTTGTCAAATTCGTATTTCCTTATTTGGTCGGCAGGGTGTAGAATGGCAGCCTTGCAGGAGGTGTAAAGTGGTGGCGTCCCCGCCTCACGATGTTGTATACATGAACGGTATGAGCGATACTTTTTGAGTCATAGTCGAATCAGCTTCGCTAACGCCTTTTTGCATCGCTGTTGACCATGCCGACCTACCGAGAAGAATCTCCTTATCAATTACAGTGGCGATTCGGAATCAACATCTCGCACAGAAGCTGAACGACGGCTCTAGTCGTATCCATGAGGAGATTCAAATGAGTAGGCTTGACTTGAAACAATTGAAGCTGGTTAACGCAGATGTATGAGAACGAGCCCGGCCCGAAAAACAAGTTTTGATAGCGTCACGTACATGCAGCACTGTCCTTGCTGCCCAATAAAGGAAGAGTATATCGCATCGAATCTCAAGCGCTTGACTGGTTATTGGATGGCTGACGCCGCGTGGATCACAAGGAAATCTCAGCGCATCCCGGTTGTTACCTTCTGCTAGCTCTAGCACTACCATAGCGATTTCATTGTTGACGATGCAAGTACAACACGATCGCATGTGGACAAGACTATCATTAGACTCCCTTGCTCACATGTTCATCAACCAAGCTACCATATCTCAATTTGCCCTGCTGGAATCAAGCACGTTACAAGTCGACCATCGAAATAACAACGATATTTCCCAGTCAACATGTTCGTGGGCCCTTTATTGGCAACGATCGTCGTTACTGGGGTTGACGTCGCCACATCATCCTCACATTCGGGTCCCTGTCAACTCTCCTCGAGTTCTGGCAAGCGCTAGCAATGTCAAGCACATCCTGCACTTCTCTGACGTCCATCTCAATATCTCCGAGTCACTCGACGCTACCGAGCCTGTCGAAATGCAGTTCAAGTATGGAAATGATGCCCCAATCACCATGTTGAAGTCAGCTGTCGAGTTTGCCAAGAAGCTGATGCCCGATCCAGATTTCTTCCTCTACACGGGCGATCATGTCGTACATGGAGATCTTACGGACAAATTTTTAGCGGACACCATAGAGACGAATGTCAAGACTGTGGCTCGCTACTACTCGACAAAGGACAATGACACAAACTTGGACATCACTGCACTGCTTGGCAACGCAGATACAAGTACGTGCACACCATTGCTTGGATGGAACGCTCAATACTGACTGTTTGTGTTGTATTGCAGCCCCCGATTACACTATGAACTTGACGGATCCGGAAGCAGAAACCAATCCGTCGATCACACTCATCTCGGCAGCATGGGAAGATATCCTTTCAACGTCTAACCTCGACTGGTTTAACCATCGTGGGTATCGGGTGTTTGATCTGGACGAAAACCCTTGCTGTTCTTACACTCAATACGGTACCCTACTCAGTGAGTTATAGTTCCAAGGCTTACATCGTTTACTATGCTAGAGTTAACTTGTGCTATGTCGTCGTCTCCAGCCAAGCCATTCCCCCGACACAACGAATATATCGGACCCTTTCGGTCAGTTTGCAACGAAACGCTGCTCGAGCTCCGGAACGCTGGCAAGTTCGCCTATATCGTCGGACATATTCCTCCCATTATCGACTCGTATAGCGGCGCCCAGATGTGGGAAGTCGAATACATCAAGACGTACAAAGCCATCGTGAACCAATACGCAGACATCGTCAAGCCCAGTTCTTCGCGCACGTGCACAGTATTGAGTTCCGTATCCCTCTCACGTCCGAGCAGTTGGTTCAAGAAGAAACGGAGGGTACAGAGCTCGTACCGCTGTTCATGTCGGCAGCGATCTCGCCCATCTACAACAACAACCCGGAATTCATGATCTGGGACTTCGATGCCAATTCGTACGAAGTGCTGGACTTCACAGTGTACGGCACCAACATCTCGTCTGACAGTCAAGAAGTGGATTGGAAACCGCTTTTCAAGGCTAGCACGGCGTACGGCGTAAATTCCTTACGCACGACGGAGTTGAATGCGTTGGTTAGCCGTCTCGCATCGGATTCGGCATTACTGGAGCAATACTACTACAACTCGAAGGTGCAGTCGTACTTGCAATCGCCGTGCGTGGACGTGGCATGTCAGTCGAAATGGCTGTGCACGACACAATGGTACACAACGTCGGAGGACTTTGAGGCGTGTGTAAAAGAGTTGGAGATGAAGCGCTCAGCTTAGCGCTTGCTGCTTTTTTAAGTTGAAGTGGATACCACATAACCTTTGAATGCATACGTGGTGCACACCACTTGTTCGAGACGACTGTTGATTCGTTGATAATCAATGCCATAAAGTATTCCATCACCATGGAAGATGTAGCGTGGAAGTGCACGGCGGCGTTCGTGCTGGGCGCCGCAACACACTACTTCGTCTCCTCGTACATGCTGACGGACAGCACATCGCCTCCCAAGTCCTTGAGCAGTAGCAGCGACAACAGCAACGAAGATGCCGCGGAGCCGCGCTCGGGCGCTTCGTCTCGATCCTCATCCGGCTCCTCGGATGACTGGGAGGGCGAGGACTCCGTAAGTTGGGTGCCCCACAAGATGGTTATGTGCGTGCGTACAGATCTGAAAATGGGCAAAGGTTCGTACTACGATGAACTAACGTTTAAGTACAATAATTGAACTTACATTGCTGCTGGGCAGGTAAAGTTGCGGCGCAATGCTGCCACGCGACGCTGGGCGCTTATAAGCGTGCGCTTAAGCGGACGCCAGACGCAGTTCGGGCGTGGGAAATGCTGGGTCAGGCGAAGGTCTGCCTCAAGGTGGACTCAGAGGAGGAAATGCTCGCTCTGGCCGAGAAAGCGGCAGAGCACGGACTCGTTAATTACGTCGTGGTACGTCGCGTTCTGCATAAGAAGAAAAGGGTAATACAGTGGCTGATAATGCTGTGCTGCTGTCAGGTTGACGCTGGCAGGACGCAGATTGCACCGGAGAGCAAGACGGTGCTGAGCATTGGCCCGGCGCCACTGAAGGAGATCGACGAGATCACGGGCCACCTCAAGCTCATGTGAGCGTGAATTATGCAGAATAACGAGTTAACCGATATGCATAACTCAACCGAGCAACGTTAGTTAAGGGGTGCTTTACAGTTTATTTCCCTTCCTGCTTTGATGACAGGAGATGGAAGATATTTACTGCTCTAAAGCGTGTCTACCGAGTCGTATTGCGAGCGGCTTTTGAGAACCCCAAAGTGTCGGAGTATGAACACGGTTAACAAAACGCACAACGCTGCGACGCCAGTCGCTAGTGCTGTGGCTCCAATTGTCATCAACACGTTGTTCGTTGCAAAATTGTCCGAGGCGCTGGAACCAGAGGCTGCCACAGGCGAGACGGAAGTGTAGTCGTTGTCAGACATCATCGTTTGAGCCGTGTCAACGCAGGCCAGATACTGGTCCTTAGTCGTCCACCACTTGAGCGTACACAACGTTTTGGCGTGGCAAACTGCGTCCTTGCAAGGCCGAGCATTGGGCGACCGCGCCTTCATGTTCCAGTAGTAATCCTCCACCAAGCTCGCGTTCTGCTCCACACGGTGCACAAAGGACGAGAGCTCGGGCAAAGATAGCGACTTGAGACTGTATGCCTCGCTCGCCTTAAACAAGAGCTTCCAGTCGAGTTGAGGCTCGATCTCAGCGATGTTGGAAGCGTACACAGCATAGTCTAGCACCTCGTATGTCTCGATATCGTAGTCCCAGACCATGAAAGATGGGTTGTTGCCAAAAAGCGGCGAGATCGAGCCCGTAATGTACATCGGCGGCAGTTGGAAGGCATCGTCTTCACCGGTTGGCCCATCGAGTGATGCCACGGGTACACGGAACTCGACGCTGTGTACGTGACCAAAGAACTGCGCCTTGATCACATCGGCATACTTGCCAACGATGTTCTTGTACTTAAAAATGTACTTGGGATGCCACTGAGGGTTGCCTCCGTACGAGTCCACAATAGGTGCAATGTGACCAGCAATGTACGCAAATCTGCCTGCATCCTGCAGCTCAGCAAGTGTCTTGTCCAACCAGGCGAATTGTCCGAATGGGTCCGGCTGCTTTGACGTGTCCGGCAAATGACTTGGCTGACCATAAATATTAGAAGAGTGTTAGTACCAATGCATTCTCTATGTATCAATCCCCAGCTCTGCCCTACCGAGTAGGGGACTGTATTCAGCGTGATCACGTGTAACTTGTCGTCAAGTGGATAGCTCAAGTATCCACGTCGATTTAGCAGATCCATATTAGCCGCAGTCAGTGAGTCCTCCCAGACGTTCGAGATGAGCTCAATTGACGGGTTCGACTCGGTTTCTGGGTCCGTCACCTCCATGTGATAGTCCGGGTCTGCCATCAACAGTGTCAACCTCCTCCTTCTTAGAATAATTAATAAATGTTTAGCATTTCGTACTCCCGTCTGCGTTGCCAATGATGGCCGTGGCCTCCAGTCTCCCCTCCATGCCCTTTGGTGGGTAATAATTCTCCATGGCGTGGACATTCGTCTCGACGGCATTTGCAATGTATTCATCAGTAAAGAGACCGTGGGCTGCGTGGTCTCCCGTGTACAAGAAGAGCTCGGGATCGGCCACCACGTGCTCCTTGGCATACAATAGCGCGGACTCGAGCAGAGATAACGGCGCGTCTTGGAAGTAGCGGATGGGGATGCGAGCGTTGTCCGCTGCGGAGAACGACTCGGAGATGTTCAAGTGCACGTCCGAGAAGTGCAAGATGCGACCCACAGACGTCGTAGACGCCGGCACTGCCAGCAGCGCAAGAAACATCCACCCCAACATCGTAAATGGGAAATCTGAGACTTTCGTTCTAAAAACATGTGGCGATTTTGCAATTTTGAGGTTTTCATTTGGAAAAATGTGTCAATTTTCGTCTTGACAATACGGTAGGCCACTTCTAGAAGACGTATGCAAGCTCACAGACAGCGCTGACGATAACGAAATCACTTTTGAACTTGCGGAAACAGTTTTGATAAATGCTGCGGTTGTGAATTATAGTTTAAAGCTTCCGACTTAATTACTGCGAGTCTGCCTTAATAATTCCGAGTTTGACTGATCGGTGCCGGAGATCAATTTTCTGCGAGTTGGCACTTCTACTTTGTATTCCAAGTATTAAAGTATCTGACTATTACATTATTTGGCAATGTAGATTTGGTATGATGGACACGGAAGTTCTGCAGAAGGGGAAGAAGGCACGTTGCCGTGTCATTCAAGATAAGGACGCGCAAGAAGCACAACCAGGAGTGTATACGGCTAAGGTTTGGTTAAGTTTGCTTCTGCACGTTTTTACAATTAAAACCTGATAAGGATACTCTTTTTCTGCAGAAAGAGGACGTTCAGAAAGCGCAGGCTCAGCGCTTGGGTACGCTGGAGAATACGGTTAGCAAAGAGCCTGGGCAAAGGGTATCACTTTTTGACATGGTCTTGGATTCAAACAGCTTCGAGCAGGTAGAGAACCAAGCTGTTTCAGCAACAGAAATTACACTTCTAACATTTTTTCTTTCTTTTCTTCAGACTGTTGAGAACGTTTCTGGTGCACAGTGGGTCGCTCAGTATTGGAGTGGACGATACCACCGGTCTTCCTTTTCTTGGTAAGGAGAGAATAAAAAATTAGCAATTGTTAAAGTAACGTTGTTGCTTTACTTTGGCTTTGATCGAATGTAGAGAAAAGAGAAGCCGCTGACGAACACCAACCGAACAGCGAGCAATGCATTCTCAGCATTACTCCTACCCAGTGGGACGACTTAGTGGCTATACATGAACGTAATGAGCCTTTGGTTGGTCACCGCCCGTATCTGGAGTGATTTCGAAAGAGTTATTCGCAGTAGGTGAAGCGAGCAGAATACGTAACGGATTATTTATCGCTTCCTGCTTATTTTTTTTTTAAAATAGCTAGCTTAATAATGGATTTCTCCTTCGTGATATCCATACCACTCAATAAACCTGCCTGTTTCCCCACTGCTGAGTGTATTTCCTTTAGACAAAGACCATCCAGATTACACTCACGCAGGTAGCACACGCTCTGGTACAATTCATCCAGCTCGTGTGTGGCAATGTCAAACTTATTGGACTGAACATCTGCCAGATCCACAGTACTCTCCTGCATATCCTGCAGTAACGCTCGCTCCTTATCAGCAAGGGCTGTGGCTGCGGCAAAGCAGACATTGCTTGATTCATCATGTGCTGATCCTAGTCCGACGAATTTGCTTGAAGAACACTGACCTCACCAAAGGAAAAACTAATGAGAGAGGGGAGAAGCTGCAAAGATTTTAAAGTCCCTTCCCAATGTTTGTTCTCTAACGGGCTTATCTACTTCAATCCCTACTAACAGTCTCAAACCTGCATACAGGTAAATGCACTACACGAAAATGTAGAATGCCAGTCAATAAAAAAATCGAGAGCTTTACCAACTTCTTGAAATTCAATAAGGAAGTTCTGTGTCGGCACAGCAACAGTTCTAGCATTTATCAACAAGACACTACTTGTTTACCTGACAATAATTGTAAGAGACTTTTTAGATATCGAAGTAACGAGAAATAAGAGAACTAAGATGTAGCCATTATTTCAAGTCAACGGTCGTTTTACTAACCGACGTTCAGCCAAGGATCGTTTGCCCACATAGTAAGCTGTTGCAAGAAATGCTGCAGGAGAGTTTAGGCGGTGCTGGAGATTCTGCTGCTAGCGCCAAGAGAGCGCAAGCTCAGGCTCAGAAGTTGCTACAACTCGCTTCTGTCAGACCGAATGCATTGACTCTACGTGAATATCGTGAGGGGTTGGAGGTAACGTCATTAACCACGAAACTATAGCAACTAACGAGCTCTAATCTTTTGAGTCATTGTTCGTTCAACACACAGGAATGTTTGAAGCCGGAGGGCATACCCACTATGAAACTTCTTGGGTTCCAACTCGCTGCAATCGCTCCCGGCTGCTGCACGCACGAAGTTTGGAGATTCATCATGGAAGCTGTGGTGACTGAACTCGGTAGTTCCGAGAACACGTCGACGTTGGGTGCTGCAGTTCAAGTGCTTAAGCAGGTTCCAGTGCCTCTTGTGCTCGGGTTTTTGCTGTCTCCTGAAAGGGAGCCCATGAATAAGCTGCGTTCGGTTTTGACTCATGAAGACGTCGAGGTTCGTTGCAGCGCAATTGAGACGCTGTCGCAATTAACGTTAGATGTGGCTATCAGTATCGCTGGAGATGGGTTATTCGTGTTTCCATTCGAGTCTCACGAAGCTCGAATTTGCTGTCAGCAAGATCTGGAGACGATGGTCAACGATTGTTGGAAGCTCATTTTGCATTCTCTGTCATTTGACGGGCAGTCTTCAAGTGCTTTATGGGCTGCTGGTATGGCGTTCACGGCTTTAACGAGTTTATTTGCACGTTGTAGCACGATGACATCATTCTTCCCAAGTATTCAGGAATCTATCCGCGTTCAAGCACCTATAGACGATGTCGCCTCCATGGTCTACAAGCAGGCATTCCCGCGTATTCGAGCGTTGATAGCCACAGCACGTAGTCAACCCATGAAGCAGCAGCCAGATGCTATGCTGTGGATTTCTATGCTGCTGTATACGATGATGGAACGCAGCGGTGCGAGATGTCCAAGTGTAAGTGTCCCGTACATGGAAATCGATACTGAAGATAACAATGCCGAAGGTGCAGACGACGACGACGAACCGCATGCGTCCACCGAGCCTGTTCCAGTTGATGAACTGGTGCGTGATCTGCTCGAATCCTGGGCATTTCCTACAGTATCCAGAAGAGTATCGCTGGCACAAGCTACTAGTATGTGTCGTGCTATCTTCATCGTCTTGGCGCATCCCTTACAGACGTTCACGCGCATGCGTTGGGCCGCTCAACTCGCCAACCACCTCATTGCTCAGTGCTATTTGGCCAACAGGAGTAACAGCAACAACAATGGCGCATCTAGTGCAGAGCTCAAGATCGAGCTGAGTGTGATGTTGGTGAAAACGTTTGCCTGGCAGTCTGGCGTTAACTGCCAGTCTCTCTTCGTACGAACAACCGAAGCGCTTTACCTTTTAGATCATGAAAAAGACCGACGCGATCTCGTACAGTTCTTCATGGACACTATCGTCAGTTATGTTATCGTCAACCGAGACTTTCAGCTACTCCAAGGACTTTGCACAATGACGTTCTTCAGACAGCCAAAGGGATTCTCGCGGTTATCACCGCCCACCAACGGCTCCGAAGTGTTCCGAGCGCTTTTCCAAGCTCTCTCCAATACCATGGAGTTGTCTTCACCTCGACGAAATATGGAGCACCAGATATCGCAACTTATTGCCTTGAGAGTCTTTCGAGGGTTGTTGCTACTAAAACTAGGTGGCTCTGCTACTACCTCGCCGAAGGCGTATCTTCGCTCCTGTGAAATCAGCGAGAACGTCGTTTACTACACAGGATTATTGACTTCACACTTTCAGGATATGCTTGCCTGTCCCGAACTAGCACTTCGTGAATCACTTGACTTTTTTCAGCACGAATTGTTCCCGACTATGGACCAGATAGCGTCACAATGTGCCCGTCTTCAAATACTTTGGATTGGCGTTCGTCTACATCGAAATTACGCTTCGCACGTACCTTTTGATGCTCTGGTGCGAGAGCTGCAGTGTGAGACTGGCCGGTTGTTCACTGCTATCTGGAACGATGACGACGAGATGGAAGGAGCAACTTTCGACGACGGGTTACTTGGTGGTGCTAGCGCCGAGGACATACCTGGAAGTCGGGAACGTGCAGGTGATGCGAACACCGTCGACGCACTGATGGTACTTGGTGACTGTATCACATTACTAGCAGAGCTACAGCCTCAAACGCAACCGCAATTTCTTCAAATGTGCGAGAAAATGATTGCAACGTTATCAGCTTCAGGAAGCGCCCCAGCGATCACATCTCAACAGTATCATGTGTACGTTAAAGCATTCCATACTCGAATATGATGTGGGCTTAACAACTTGGTATTGTATTCTGTTTGTGTAGTATTGAGAATGTCATGACACTCCTCTCGACTCCAGGAAACTTAACATCAGAACTTGAGACTCAAATGTCGAAAGAAATATTTGACCCTCGCGATATATTTCTACCTCGGAAACACTTTCATGAGCATCGGGAAATTTCCAAAGATGAACAATATCGAGAGCCGGTCACTGTCACAGGTAGCTCTGATCCTGTCTCCATTCGGATATCACACCACCATCCCCTGTCTGGAAAGGAAGATGTGGTTACATTGGACGTCAGTTGCTGCAATCTCACTACTTGGGCTTTGAACGACCTGGAAATTCAGTTTCGTCCACTTGGAGGAGTAGGAGTTGTTCAGTGCGTCGGGGCTTCGAAAGATTTAAAGCTACGTATGCTACGTTCCGGCGAGACCGTCAGCGTTGGTACAAGCGGAGGAAGTACGAGTTTACCACCATTTGGTGTGATCAAAGCCCAGAAGCAGTTCCGTGTATGTAAATTTACACAAGCTGTCTTTCTGATGCAAGCGGTGCTAGTCCAAGAACCTAGCCAAGACGGAGAGGATACGGGAGACGTTCCTGCGGAGGCGACATCTCCGACGCCAATTTATCTGGCATTCAGTAACCGATACGTGCTACATTTCGACATACTACTCCGATGCCCGCAGTCTCAGTTCGCAAATGCTGCATTCTTCCGACACTGCTGGCAAAGGTATGACCCGTTTAGATGTCGTACTTTATCCCTTATGCAACGTTTTGTGTTATATACTGACTGTATTGCTGCTGTAGTGCTAACTCGGGTGTTTTGTGGCGGGTCAAGGCGCCGGAGTCGCAAGCACGGAAACTTGGGATTTGCCAGCACGCACTCCATGTCATGAATGCTACACTTGCTGTAGTTTCTGAGTTACTACTGGATCTACCAATGTACTTTCACGTAAGTTATACCATTCCAACGCTCTAGACTTTGTTTGATCGTGCACTTACACCCCCTTTGATGTACTATTTCTTAGATTTCAATGCTCACTCAGACGCGATGGGGCGCGTACATCATCGCGACATTGACAATGTGCCTCGAGTCGGATTCAAGTTGGTCTGGTATACTGGAAGTCCGCTCAACCTCTGAGAACATCCGCGAGTTCAAGAAGTGGCCGAAAGATACAACTCGTCTCTTTAGCGGAGATCTTGTGCAGCTCTGCAATGAGCCAGTGACATCTCGTGAAACCGAGCAGCCATCCACCTCACTCAGCAACGCTGTCAATGCTACGGCCCCATTGCCAACAGATTCATCTACATTCGACAACGCATTCTCCAACCCAGTACCTGCTCCCATGCAGCCGATAGATCCATCCATGACCAGTGCCGCCTCAACTTTCGCGCAGGACGTGCGATCCGCCACGAGCTCCCACAAAGACATGAGTGTCCCCACTGACCGAATGTCTTCTTTCGCGCGCAGCCAACCAGAGCAAACGCGAGCACCAGAGGCCACCCCAGCTGATGAACAATGGGGTAACTTCTTGTAACAGGTTAAAGAGGGATAACTTGTTAAAGGCAACTTCAACTTGATGTTTTAAACACAATTTTGTTGTTGGTTTGCTTCACCCTTTTTTTTTTTGGCCAAATTAATGACGAAAATCACTTTTCACTTTCTGGTATCAGATTCAAGATGCCGCTTGACCGGCAGCGCGGAGTCACGGGCTCGGCGCTGGGCGATGAGGAGGAGGAGCGCGTGTACCGCCCGCTGCTGTTTCAGTCCACGGGCTACGCGTCCTCGGAGCTCTTTCGTGACTCATATGAGATGCACTCGAGGCTGCCGACAGTGTCTTCAACCGCTCCTTTATTAGGTGTTGAGGCTGCTGGCGGCGACTCGACCGAGAATCAGAAACAGAGACATGTATTCGAACCACAGATTCGGCTGGAAACCCTGTCATCACGGGCTGCTACAGCGGTGCTATGGATCACGTACCTGGCTTTCTTACTGGCGATGGTATTGCCGTATCTACAGAGCAAAGGGTACCTGGAAACGGTGCGGAATTATGGTGGAATCAGATTTAGTTGTGCTGTGCTCTTATTCTGATTCTGTGTACATCAACTTTAGGCGGTCGAATTGTCAGGAGCAGTGTGTAAGGACGAACATAGGAGAGAGCCCTGCATTCAAGTTGACAAAACGAGGAATGTTGCTCAGTGGGCAGCTTATGTGGCCAATGTATCACGATATACGGGATCCATTGAGCTCAAGCTAAATGTTCGGGAACAGGTGAACACTTCAATATTGTCAGATTTGCTGGCGCCACTAGAAAATAGCAATACATTCCAAGAACTGGAACGTGTGGGGACTGCGTGGAATATGGATCGAGGAGTGAAGAATGGCATAGCTGAAGCGTCAAGTAAGGACGAGGAAGTGGATCAAGCCGCTGGATACGTATTGACTTACGATGCCAGACTGTATGGCATTGACCACGACGTAACACCGGCCTCAAAAGATCCTGTTGTAGATGAACGCAACCAGAGTATTTGGGTCGAGTGTCGATCGGGAGGACCATGTGAAGATGTGAGGCTCGTGGAGATTACGCAAGACATCGACCGACTGGTAAGATATAAGCAGTACCTCGGCGATCGATTTACTTACGATACCGGTTCTTGTAGGGTGGAAGTGGATACGATGCATACTTTGCTGTTGTGACCTTCCGAGGGCTGTATCCAAATGTCTTCGGCAAGAACGTGGTCTATGAATTTGCCTATACGTGCGTACAGCATTTTTCTCCTGCTGTAGCTAAGGGTATTTCTCTGATCACTGCTTTTGTACCTGTAGGAAACCAGCTATTCATGTCGGCGAAGTGATTGTTCGTGGAGTATTGGTGCTTGTATCTATCTTAGCGCTTCCTTGTTGGTTCATTTCAGTGTTGAACTTCCACGGTGGATCATGGAGTCAAGTGCTTACGGTACAAAAGTGGTTGCTGGGCGTTGGTGTCGTGCTCGTGCTTTGGCAGAACCCAGTGTACGCAGTATCGGAGCTGTACACCACTGTGAGCATGCGCACTCGATTCGTATCCATCACTTGCCAGTCATTCGCGGAGGCTTTCTTTTACGTGTTTTGGCTCAGTCTGATGGACCAGCACAGCGGAGATTTTTTGTCTCGAAGATGCTCGTTTGGAACGAAATTCCTTTTTGGCTTGACACTTTTCGCTGTGGACACATGGATGACTATGTTACGAATGCCAAAATTATTATTTGGAGCGGACGAGACTTCATCTGCTCGCGATTTCCACCACAAAGAACTTTACGTGCTTCTGGGTTTCATTCGCACGGGTTTGGTGCTGTTTTGGCTCACATGGATCATGATAGTTGGAGCACGATCTGGTCGGTATTTGAAGGCTTTACCATACATGGCGACTCGCTTCAAGCAGCTATCATACCGATTTCTCGTGCTTGAGACACTCCTTATCTTCGTCTACACCTTTGTGCTGTCAGCTCTGCAGATCTTTCACTTGACCCAAACGTGGTACTTCATTGGATACGACGCGTTCATCCAGGACTCAGTGCACACGTTCGCGAAGATGCACACGGGTCACCCATCACTGGGCAAGTTCCTGTTCTTGTCGGTGTATGTTTACTTGGTCATGTTTGTACACTTGCCTCCACTTGCAGGAGACAGCACGGGTCTTCTGACATCCACAGCGTTCCATGTCGACGAGAAGCCACGCGTGGACTCCTACGGCTTCCTGACACCCGACTCCAATTTGTTTTGTGTCGAAACGGCTGGATGGTTGCTGGAGTTGGCGTATCAAGCTTACTTTGATCCTCCTGGATGTCCGTCGTCGTCTGGATACGGTGAGCTCACTCTTGAAAGATACGGCTTTGAGCTGATCACTCATCTGCGAAGTAACCTTACGGACACACACGTAGTCGTCGCATGGAGTCGAGAAGACCATCGACGTTTGGTGATATCATTCCGAGGCACTACCAGCAAGGCAAACTGGAAGAGCAATCTTAGAGCTGACCAAACGGTGCTGTGGATAAAATCTCGAGGTCTGCGTTGGAGGAAGTCATGTCTTGAAAAAGTGAAGGATGTCGCTGCGAAGATCCCGTTGCTCAACATGGCGCTACCACGGGTACATCGAGGTACTGTACTCTTTTGATTTTACCTTATTGTTAAGGTAATATTTGTCTAATTTTTGTATTATTGTGTAGGATTTTGGATCGCATACGAGTCGATTCGAGACGAGCTGAAGGAAGTGACACGACTGATTTTGGACGAAAACCCTGGCATTTCGGTGTATATCACTGGTCACAGTATGGGTGGTGCACTAGCGGTTATTGCTGCATACGACCTTGCTGTAAATTTCAGCATCAACGTCAACATGTACAACTTCGGTGGACCTCGAGTAGGTAATCCAAGCTTCCGTCAGCACTACGACAGTTGTGTCCCCACAAGTTACCGAGTTGTCATGGATGGCGACATCGTACCGGGCTGGCCGAGATTTGTGGGTATTTGTGTTTTTCTATGCTGTGTGGTGATTTACTAACGTATTGTGAAATTTGTCGTGGCAGTGGGGACTTTATCAGCATGTGGGGACTGAAATCTCACTTGACGTCGCGGGTAACCTGATTGTTGACCCGAGTTTCGTTGAGCGGCATCTTCATAACTCATCAAGGCGCAAGACGACGATGCATGGCACTAACGTTTATCGCGTATCGATCGCAAAGTGTCTGGAGAATCTCACGACTTCATAAATGCTAAATTGTATATTTTCCAACCACTTTGTGTTACTTTGAGTGGATGAAGCGTCACAATTCGTTTCACATTGGAGGCTAAGTGGCCTCGCTCTTTGTTTAGAAAATTTGGTGCAGCTCAAGCATCACGATGGACGTGGGAAACCAGCAAGCACAGGAAGGAGTCATTCGCTCGCATATTGACCTTGCAGAGGCAGCGGCTAACGGCTCTCGTGGAATGGTATCTTCACACCCTGGACGATATCCGTTGGTATTATTACTAACTGGGGTGTTGTGTTCGTAACTAGGTTGAGTTTCTGCTGGACAACGGCATGCACATTGATACCCCAGGAAAAGGTATACTTAATTAGTGCTTGTGAAACTAATGGTACCATTGTAAGGTGACGATGTCTACGGCTAGATGGGACGACGCCACTGTGTGCTGCTGCTCTGTGGGGAAACGATGCCATGGTCGCTTACTTGCTCGACAAAGGCGCAGACGTATCTGCTAGAAACGAAGGTATGCTCAGCCTTCTTTGCTCTTGATTTTTTTGGTCCACTGATATACGCTTGTTGGCAGGCACGGGGTGGACAGCTTTGCATGCAGCTTCGTTTCAAGAACACGGGAAGGTCGTTCGAATCCTCTTGGGTCATAAAGGTGATCCGAAAATGGTCGACGCAGAAGGGAGAAGAGCAGTGGACTACGCCAGCATCTCGGAGGCTATTTGGCCATTCTTCGCCGGTACAGCAGCGCAATTCTTCTCCAAGTTACTGCTCTTTTTTTTTTACGTACATTCGTTGACCAGCACAAGGATGTACCAAGAGTTCAAAGTCGGACCTTATCGCGAAAGGAATCATTCGTAAAATACAGGAACGGCCTGAACAGATGCAAGCAAATGACAAATCCGAGAGTGTACGCCCAGTAGTACGGACTTGTGGTCAATCACGAACGCTAATTCTGTGTTTATTACGGGCAGATCTCGTCTTTCTCCCGTCCTGGGTCCTCCTACATAAGAGCGCAGATGTATCCACCGCTCATACGTCAGCAAAGTCCCGCAATCAAGGTAGGCTCAATAGCTCAAGTTTTTTTTTTTTTTTTTTCCTTTTTTGTTGATGTTTGCTCTGCTCTCAGTCGCGTGATGGACGGATATTTACCGGCCCCATTGATCCTCTCGGTGATATGCCTGCCGAGCGCGAATCGAACCAGCGGAGCCCGTCACTGAAGAGGTTGGGCATCTAGAGATCGAGTGTAGCAAGTTGAAGTGTGCTCTGAAGTAACAGTGTCTTTTCGACCAATGAATTTGCTTGATGCATAAAAAAGATGGTATGCAGTAATATAGGTTTATCTTATTTTTCGGGTTTCGCGCTATAGAAAAGTGGCCCAATCGTAGCCGCTCGTTCAAAGCCCCCCTTCAGCCGCTCAGTTCTTGTATCGCTTCGCTGCTAGCACGTCGTTCTACAATGGTGAGGCCCGCACCGCCGGAAGCGAGGCTCAGATCATAGGTATCACATCTTATAGGTTACTAACACGCTCTCTCTACGCGGATGCAGTCGCTTCTTAACAAGGGATCGCGCCTCATGACCCAGTCGCTCCGCGCTGGCGCCCGCAGCATGTCGAGCGCTACCGAGCAGGAGGCCAAGGAGCAGATGTACCGGTGGCGCACGATCTCCAAGGGCATGATCGGCCTGGTTGGAGTGTACACGGTGTACGCTATCGGCGACCACCTGAGCCACGAGCACCATGAGGAGGAGACGCCTGCCTACCCGTACCTCAAGATGCGCACCAAGCCCTTCCCGTGGCCCGAGTCGAACTGCGACCTGCTGGACTTCGAATGCCGCCGCAAGGCTCGCGAGGCCAAGAAGGCGCTGGAGTAAACGGTTGTATCAAGGAGAAAGCAGAACAGGCCAAAGGACAGAAGCAACGCCAGGGAGTAAGCTGAACGTTAAACTTGTCTTCACCGGTACTACTATTTCTTTGGCTTGGTTCATTCACTACACTACCCACACGCACACACACACTACCAACTAAAAAAATAAAAAAAAAATGCAACCAGTCTTCGAAGCTACCGGTATAAACCCTGTCCGATACTGCAACTCCATTCACGAGACAGGAGGCCAAAATTGATGGTGAAGTAAGATTATTAAGTGCAATTGGGTCTTCAACACCACCTCTTGGTTGGTCAAAATGGCGGACACTTCGTCCATAGTACCGCACGGCGCTGCTCAGCGCCTACCGCAGCCTGGCGAGCCCGTGTGTGTGGTGAGACCTGCACACAGTCGTATGCAATACCTTCATTAGTTAACTAAATCATTTGCACCTTCAGTTCTGCGGTCGATACGGCGAGTACGTGTGTGACGCCACAGACCAAGACGTCTGCAGTCTCGAATGCCGCGATCTCTGCATATCCAGACACCAAATGAAGCTGCAACACGGTGCACAGCAAGCTAAGCAGTCCAAAGAACTTCGACGTAAACTAGGCATCAAAATATCTGCTCAAACGGTGTCCGAGACCGGAAAAAGTGTCGACTCATGGCCAATTCCATTCGTGGACTTTACACAACAACAAGAAGGTCTGCAATTACCTGAAACATTGCTGAATAATCTCAGTGCCAATGGATTTGAGAGACCGACGCCCGTGCAGATGCAGACGATTCCTTGTGTGCTAATAGGACACAATGTAAGTGGCTATTGGATGGGATATTCTAAAGGAAAATGCTGACACTTGTTGCCAGGTATTGGTGAGTGCCCCTACAGGAACAGGTAAGACGGCGTCATATTTAATTCCAGCGATCACACAAATGTTACTGGCCAGAGAAGATAAGGAGGAGGTTTTAGCGTTGGTGCTGGCTCCTGTTCGAGAGCTGGCGATCCAAATTGAGACTGTGGCGAAGATGTTAATGCGTGGGATTGCCAATATGAAGACTGCACTCTTAGTGGGCGGCTTCCCCGTTCCGACGCAGCGCTATCGGCTCCAAGGTGGCGTTCAACTGATTGTGGCCACACCTGGTCGCTTTCTTGATATCTTCACGAACTATAGCGGTGGCGATGCTATCTTGCCTGCTATTCGCTTGTGCGTAATTGACGAAGTGGATGTTATGCTGGACATTGGTTTTCGACCGCAGATTTCCCAAATTGTGGCGCTATTGGCTGAAGACCGCCACAGAGAGGTTCAATTACTCTTCTTCAGTGCTACCGTTTCTGATGAGGTTGAAACTCTGGTTCGACAGATTCTGAAGACTCAAAGAGAGCACTCTTATACTCGAATCGACGTTCGTAGAGATGAAAACGCGTCCATAGGAATGCCGCGTTATTCGCTAGGTTCAGGTGTTAAACACGTGGTTCGGTGGGCTGAAAACAAAGCGAAAAAGAACGAAGTATTCGAGTTTTTGAAAGGAAAAGGGGAAGAATCAACGGTACGTGTAAGCCATGACAGCGTAGTAATTGTTTTGACGCTAGTTTGCTTAATGGTTTATATTATGTTGGTGGTGTCATAGCTTGTCTTCGTTGGATCAAAACTTGGCGCCACGATGCTGGCAGAATCGATTGAAAAGCGTTGTGGGATTGGCGCTGCGGCGATTCATGCAGATAAAACCCAGCAAGAGCGACTCAGTCTGCTTGAAGCTTTCGTGAACTTGGAGACTCCTGTTCTGGTATCCACGAACGTGTTGAGCCGTGGAATGGATCTATTGAACGTTGAAAACGTGGTCGTCTATGACTTCCCTAAGAAGATTACAGACTTCGTTCACCTCATTGGTCGTACTGGGCGTACTGATGATGTATCGGGGAAGGCGCTTACACTTGTGAATCTGGACGACCGCCCACTTTTTCGGGAACTTATCCCTTTATTGCGCCAAGTTAAAGTTTCTGTACCTCCAGAAGTGTACCAGAGTATTCGTTCTGAGGATGCTAAGAAGCGTACTCGCTCAATTAAAGCCGTCGTGGATGAATCTAAGCGAGCTTTCCGCATTCGAAGGGAGCTGATGGATGAAATAGGAACGCAAGCATCGGACTGGAAGGAATGGGATAACCACAACAAACGGAGGCGTATAGGGCCGTAAACAATACCTGCAGACCACTGAATCGCCTTTGATTTCTGGCTTATTATTAAGTGTACGTCGCTTCTTCACAGAGATCCGAGCAAACTCTGGAAGTGCCAATATTTCATTTTTCCGATGATATCAACACCGAAGAGATGGAAACTATGGTGCTCGTTCTTATATTCCAAATTTGAATAGGTCATGCGCCCACCACTCACATGAACCAACACGATCGAGACGTGTATGAAGAGTACTGGTGGAATTCCAATTGATGAAACGCCTCGGACATGAGCATTGGTGCACACAACGTCGTGTAAACCCACCCAATTAATTGCCAGTTGTAAGATGTGGAGGCAAAGATGAGACAAGATGCCCAATGAACCGAGGAGCTTTACGATAGTTACAACCTGAGATATTTTTTTTCTTCAATTCAATGGCTGCGGCTTTATCGCAACGAGTGATTTTAATGTTGAACCAATTCGAACTCCAGGATTGGATAGACGTGAACGCCGACGACCTTGCCGTGCGAAGTAATTATCGTAGCATACTCCACCACGAAGAATTGTAACGTCGGACTGTGACGCAGTGCTTAGCCTCCATATCAGACGAGGACACCACAGTGATAGCGTCACGATTCGGCTAAAGTAAAAGGGCATGACACGGACAACCAGTTGGTGATTCCAGATTTTTCCTTGAAAGAGAATTGCGTCGTGTAGTTTGTCATCTCCCACGGAGAAAAAATGCCCAATGATAGTGATATGCCCCAGTAGTACGAGCGCAACGACAGGAGCTGCCATACTCGGTCGAAAGCGCAATTTATCTCGCACAGCAGGAGTGAGGGCATCCACAGTGAAAGCCCACAAGCTCCATATCCACCAGGTGAACAATATTAGACACCATGAACATTCCCAGTCATAAAGGATACAGACAGACAAAGATGCTGTGGTGGCTTGAAAGGCGTAAAAGAAGAAGTCGAACGACGTTACAAGAAGCTTGAGAAGCTCTCGCTGGTGGAGAGACGAGAATGGCATCACGAAGAAAATAGTACAGAATAGAGCGCCCCAGGCTTGAATAAATAGTCCACTGGATTGGGTCCTACTAAATTCGTTGGCAAGAGCGGAAAAGGACAAGACAATACCAACAGTACCAACACCATACAAGAACACCAGAGTGTTCTCTGCTACTCTTAGGGGGAAGATTACGTGATTTGAATCGAACGTGCCCGGAAACTTGATGAACATCATTTGTTGGTTCATGCTGGGTTCGCGGCCAGTGTGACCTGAGGTGGACGCAGCGACTGCGTGTTTTCTTCCTAGTCGTTTTGATCGAGCATTCTTAGCGTGGACTATGGTCGGTCCTTGGATTTGGTCAAGTTTGAGCTTACATCGGTAGATGACACACTCAATCATCGACGATTTCTGCCGTAATTGAAGCGTTTGGCGCTTTCTAACGACGATTTTGATGATTAAGAGAGAGAGCGTTATCATCCCGTTGCCAATGATATCATCACCGGAGAGACTGAAATGCGCGTGATTGTTACTGTGACTAAGCAGAGAAAAGCTTGTACAACCATCTAAACGCCCTAACATGATCCACAGCAGCATGAAAATTAGCGGTGGTATTCCAAGGATAGTGACGATAATGAAAGGCCGGATTCCACGCACTTGAGCATCGATTAACACAATATTGTGGAAACCGATCCAGTCGATCATCATCCTGCAGACGCGTAGATCCCAAAAGTACATCGAAATCATTAAAGCTGTGAGTGTGGTAGTGCACGAGAAAAACCAAAAATCAAATGTCTTCATCACAAGACGCACAATGTCGTATCTGAGTGTACTTGGAGCTCCGAGACCCAGTGGAAGCCACATCACAAGGCTAATTACTGATAGAATTTGGCCGGATTGAGCGTTGACTCCTGTTACGACGGTGTTCATCACCATTCCACTCATATTCGCCAGCAAAAGTAGGCGGTGGTACCTGGTGAGAAAACGATGAATAACTGCATGAGCTCTCGCTGGAAGAAGTTCTCCTCGGACGGACCTGGACAAATCAATAGTTGGAAGCGGTTCGGCCGGTACCAAGACATATACGGGAGCAAGTGTAGCCCTTGGTTCCACGAGCATGGTTTGCTAGCTTACGCTTTTAGTAAAATGCAGCAAGTGATGAGTAAAACAATTGGAACGCCCTCGTGAAAGCTATATTCGATTGTCTAAACTTGAACAATTAGATTCTTTGGGGTGTCAAGTGACTACCGATTGATTTTGCTTTCCCAACGGTTTTTCTTGGCAAAAGGATGCAACAGGCGACACTCTAATGCGTCGAGATAAAGCGGATGCCAACGCTTTGACTTCTACGATTCGTGACATGTGCGAGCTTCTTCGTCTTCCTCTCGAGAAAATGTTGTCGTACGAGACTGTGCCCCGCAGTATCGAGACGCTTTCGTCAGTTGCTGAAGCAAGCCGGGAAATCAACCGCGAGCACCAAATTGAGAGCGTCAATGATCGACTGATGTAGAACGGGATCAAACGAAGGACCAAGTGATGATTCCAGATGGTTCCCTCAAAGATGATCGAGTCGTGAAGTTCGGTATCATCGCCAAGAAATATCCGATATATTATCCTAAGATGATCAAAGAGGAGAAGACACAATACGGGAGCGGCGAAGCGAACATGGAACTTGAGCATATGTCGGGTAGCCGGAGTCAATGCATCCAGTGTGAAGGCCCACTGAGCCCATAGCCACCATGACAATATCATAAGACAGCGCGACATATTCCAGTTGTACAGGATACAAGCCCCAATATCTGTACCAGTGATTTGAAACGAGTAGAACGCAAAATCGAACGAGGTGAATAGAAGTTTTAGCAATTCACGCTGGTAGAAGACGACAAAGAGACCAGTAAATATAGCAGTGCATAGTAACGCAATGAATGGAACCAGACACTTGAGTTCTTGTGCTGCAAAAAGCTCAGATCCGGGGATATGCGAGAGTATTAGCCCTGCAGCTCCAACTATGTAGAATATAACGAGAAACCAATTCGGGAAAGATATTTGCTTTGGAATGCAGCATTGCAGTAGCGTGTTTGTCGCTTGAAACATCTGTGGAAATTTGACAAACATTAAGTTCTGGATCTCTTCAGGGTTCCGTAATGATGCTTCTTTTGACTGATATCTCGAGTCTTCACTTGGCCACGCCAACGCGACGGAGGGTCCGTCTCTCCGCTCAAGTTTGAGTCTACATCGATATATCACACACTCGACTATACCCGAAGATCTTCTTCTCTTCACGCGAAGAACTTTCCGCCTTCGAAAAACAATCTTGGCGACGAGAAAACCTAGCGACACCATACCATTCCCAATTACATCCAGGCCAGTCAATTCAAATGTCCTGTGTAGAATTTCGTATTTCACAATTGTAAACGTTGAACCGCCATCCACTTTTCCAAGCATGATCCAGACGAGCACAACGCAAACAGATAGTACCGTAGCGATCAAGAAATAAGTGAGACTTCGGAGACCGAGCACATGTGCATCTACAAAAACGACGTGATGGTATCCAATCCAATCGATTAACATCCGTACCGAGCGTAAATCTCCAAAGTACATTGACATTGTGACGGTAATGGTTGATGTGATAGCGGAGAAAAACCAGAAATCAAAGGTTCGGAACACCAGACGCACGATATCGTATCTCAGTGTTGTGATACTACCCAATCCTATGGGGATCCATAATAGAGCCGCTAGTACTGCAATTATCCGACCCATCCGCGCTTCGACGAGTGGAATTACGACGTTTAAACAATACGACAGCACACCACAAACCAAGACGGGACGATAGTGTTTGTAGTATTTGCGACGTATGAATGTGTGAACTTTCGCCGGCAAAAGTCGACCTCGAAAAGACTTGGACAAATCAACTACAGGAAGTGGTTGGGCTGGTACTAGAGTGTAGACGATCCCGCGTGGTGCGTTACCATCCTTGACTTGAGGTGACATGAGTCAGCACCAGAACGAAGTTAGAACTGGTGCTAAAAAAGATGATTCGAAGGTGATCGTTCGGTCAGTCGTTCAGTCGTGCCAGCGACGCCCAGAGAATAAAATACTTGTAGCGACTTATGCCGACAGGACTTGATTATCTATCTTTGGAGCTGGAACTCGAAATGTTTTTTTAGGAAAGGTGATACTCAAGTTCTGTGTATCACGCATTGATTTTTTTTATAACCTGAACAAAACTTATCGTGTCCACCGTGCTGTTAGCAAACTGACTCTGACCTCACAAAAAGATTATGATGGTCAAGGTATTCAAAAGCTGTGTAGCAAAATGTCTGGATGCAAAACTCATCATGCAAAAGGTATTCTGGTCATTTTTTTTTTTAAATCAGAACATCCACTACTATTGATAGCGTTAAACACGCCCTGATTCCGTTCATACCTCCAACTCGATCAAGCTTGTGGTGGATTGTTGAGCAAGCAGTTGACACGATGCCTTCTCAACCCCGTCGAACATTTAGCAAGTCCGCGAGGCTGCACCTCAGACCGACTAGGTCAACGTCCTCAGCATCTGGAGGAGCGGGTGGAAATCCGATTTCCAGGTCTCCTGCACGTCTGCGGCTACTTTGGAAACAAAGGCGAACGGTGACTCCAGCAACATTGCATTCATTTCGTGTGTCAGAGCAGCAATCGGCAGTAATATCTACTCCTACTGTGGAGAATGATCCCAATGACAGCATCATCTTCCTCAATAATCCAACAGAAGTCAATTTACGTTCATATCTTTTTACAAGACAGAAGTCAAGTAATACCAGAGCTAGACTTGAGAGATCTGCGATCAGTCAAAGCTCCGTCAATAGTCATCGAAGCTACACACGCAGACTCGCATCGGATGATTCATTCAATGAGGAGACGCCAGTTAGAGAAAAACAAGAAGCCACGATTTCCACTACAGACGTATCGGCAACAAAGGCAGTACAAAAACCGCGGCGGAGACTTCGGGCGAAGGAAGAGCTTTGCATCGTACTACCCCGATCAACAACGCGTGGGCGGACCAGGTCGCAGAAATCTTGGTTCTTAGGACCAGGATTTCTCGGCCGAGAGCCTGCAGAAGGAAACCTTATAGCGACTAAAGAAAAATCGATGGACGCTGTGCATGCCGAGATCTCCGTAAGTGGTGACGACTATTTTGTACGTGACGCTCAGAGCTCATCGGGAACATTTCTATGCCTGAGTACACAATACCGACATTACCCACAACGAGATGGTTTTCGTCTACGATGTGGAGATATCTTTCGAATTGGGCCAACTACTTCCATTCGCGTAGTGGATCTGCAGACAACAATTGATCATACTCCCAGTCGTAATAAGTCGCGCTCTAGCTCTTGTTCTAGCCTTGCTACAGCAACAGAGCAATCCACGTCAATATCCGACAAGCTTGAAGAATCATTTAGCATCAACAGCATCGGCAATGGGACGTCTCGACCTGTATTAAAACGCATGTCCACCGTGGAAGAGCTTCGTCTACTAGCTGCAGATATAGAGGATGAACTCATGAACGACGACGGTAGATCTCACTCAAACCCGACTCCACGAGATGAAGGATCTACCGGTAAAGGTGATCAACCAGTACGATTTAAGAAAACCGTCCGCTTCATTGATACTCCTCCAGTCATGTCGGATGGATCTGTGTTTCTGGGTAGTCGCTACTTACGACCGGAAGTCAAGGAACTTCACTATCGTGAACCATCCCAAGTCGAAGATGCAGACGACGATATGATCTCACAATTGGTTGGAGATGATCACGATACATCCGGGTCTTCCATCTCTTCAAACACAAAAACTCGTCGACCGTCATCCATTCGCCTAGCCATTTTCCAACATGATCCAACCAACGCAAACGCCGAACCTGTCAACCCTCGAGAAGTAACGTTACCGGGCCAAGCAACGTATCTAATTGGTTCCTCATCTGCTTGCGATGTCCGTATTCTCCCGTCCGAAGGCATTGAAATCAGTGCTGTCCATGCTCGAATCGTGTTTGATGGAGCCTCATTCGTACTGCAGGACGTCTCTTTTGAACGAGATCCACGTCGACAAACCCGCGTCTTGCTGACTCAACGACCCGTACGAGTTACTCGCGGAGATTGGTTGCTGCTGGGCAAATGCGCGCTGTACGTAACAACTGCGGCTAGAGCTTTTGACTCAGATCGCCGACCGGATATGAAAGAGGCAGCTATGCGCTTGGATGTCTTGCGGTTATCAAAACGAAAGCCACGAACAAGAGGATTGTTCGTACCTGTTGGCTTTCGACTGCTCTCAGCTTCGGGTTCTGGTGCGTCCAGTGGAAGTAGCGGATGGGGAGGCAGCAGTGGTGGACCCGTCACGTTCGGCAAGGGAAGAGACTGCGACGCTCAAGTCTTCACTGCGTCTCTAGCGACCGAGCAATTTAGTGTACAACTCGAGCGTGGAATGTGCTTGATCACACCAAAGCCCACAGGACTCAACGCCGGTACATATTTCCTCATTGGCCGGGACGAAGTTGGAGCTGATAATACGGACGATAATGTGGAGATAGTCAAGCACACAAGCAAACCTTTGCTGCTGTCTGAAGGGTGCGTGTTCCGGTGTGGTGGGAGTGAAGTCGAAGTCATCTGTGTGAAAAGTGCCACTCCTGCAAACGCCAAATGTTTAACTGCAATAGAGCAAGAGCACGTTCAGTTCTTGAGTGCGATGCCCTGGTTGCAGCCGATCGCTAGCGATGAAAAAACTGTGGCGAATGTTGCGCGCTGCGGGCAAAGGATGGTGCTGAGTTCGGGTGATTTGGTCTACGAGAAAGGAGATGCCGCCAATTTTGTTTTCATCGTCATCAGCGGCGAGGTGGACCTCCGCCTTGCAATAGACAGTGATACCCAAGAGAGTAGCAGTACTCAGGCTATAATCGAGCAAGTGACAACGGGAGGATTCTTCGGCGAAGTGAGCTTGGACGATCCCATGGAAGCATACAATGGAATCGAGTATCGTGAAACTGCGAGAGCAGCTGGAGCATGCGAGCTGCTAGCGTTGGCGAGAGAAGATGTATGTGGGTATCTGGAGTTGTACATGGACGTCATACGCGCTCACTTGAAACACGATAGGCGTCGAGACAGGATAATCCGTGTTGCGTGCAGTGGTGTGTCTTGGCTACGGGGAATCTCTCTCCAAGAAATGCGAACATTGGCAGCACACGCTGAAGTCGTCGTATATCCCCCAGGGTCGACGTTGTTCGAGGACGGGAAGCTGTTCGTACCCGCTACATTTGCTCTTGACACGTTCCAGATTCGCGAGGGTCTTCTTGTTCTCAACCATGGAAATGCTCGGGTCGTGAGAAGTAAACACGAAAAGCAGCGGCGAAAAACCGAGAAGCTCCAAGCAGAAAATGCCGAAACCGTCCACGATATTAATGAGGCAGAAGATGATCTCGTGGAGTGGTGGAGTCGCAAGGATCCAGTCGTTGCCATGAGTTCGAGTTCTCTGTCGGTACTAAATTTCAGTGACTTATCCTTCCGTCTCGAAGCACACTCCTCCGTCGAATGTTACTTCATAGCTGCAGCTCATCTAGCACACTTGACTGTTAGCATGACACCCAAGCAACAGCACACGTCCAGTGCTGAAGCCGAAGCACCTACTGCCGCTCAGATTCCATCTCCCTTGAAACGAAATACCTCGGCAAAACGAATCCACGACTCGCAGGTAGTGACCAGCGCGTTGCATTCCGATGATAGCAACAGTGATGACGATGACTATAACACGCTGGACAGGTCCGATGGCGAAGGAGATTCCACTGCAACATGTCGCTGGAGACGCAAAAAGCGCAACAAACAGCTGCTGGATCAAGCAGTGCAGGCGACGCAAAATGACGCAGAAATACCGAACGCATTGGTCTTGTACGTACTGGCGGGCGTACAGCGTGGAGATATCCATGTTGTCCGGAATGTGGCATCAATCGGTGGACTTCTTAGCGGAGCTGACATCGAGCTGAACGACCGCTACGTCTCGCGTACGCATGCTGTCATCGAATACCACGACGGGAGGTACTGGCTGTATGATAACGGGAGTAAGTGGGGAACTTTTGTGCGTCTTGAAGAAGACAATGCCGTCGATATTAATCCCGGAGATGTTTTCTTGGCTGGAGAGATTGAGTTCACGTGTCTTGCGTCGTATCCGGAGCGGAATAAGCCCAGCTTGTGCTGTATAATGTAAATTAGCCACGAAGTAATTAAGTTAGGTTGTAAGATACAACGATTAGCAAAATAACGTTGAATAGACCATCATTTTCAGACAATCAGACGGGGTTTCACCTATTCAACAACCTTACAGGGGGACGAAGGCGGCCCAACCAGTACGTGTGCTAGCGCAGAGGCTTGTGTGAATTCTTGACCGGATCGGATGTCAACGCACACTGGGCCACCCAACATCTGGAGTCCACCAACGATCGGAAGAAGCTCAATCCATACTGTTTGCATCGTCTTCGCTTCCATCAAACCAAGATTCTGATAAGAGAGCAACAAAATTAGTGGGGTGCTTCTATAGAGTAAACATAAACCATGGACGTACCTGATGAGACGCTGACGAGCACACAATTCCACGCATTATCTCCTTGCGGAACTGAAGTTGCAGCGCCAGACTTCGAGTCGAATTGTTGGTGACAGATAGAGCAGCCAAGAAAGGCTGCCCAACCACAACGTCTTTAGGAAGCTCCTCCACCGCTACAATAACCTCGCTCTGTCCACCTCCAGACGCCCCTGGGACCTTTCTCATCACCGGTTGACTCTGCACGGAACCTGCTTCACCCATCGACGTTTTCCAGCCCACATGAAGTCGTCCCAGATTTTGCGAACCCTGCAACAGGTAATATATAAAATTCTCAGAAAACACACACTTACTATCAATAAAAAATACCCAGCATACCTGACTTGTCAGTAGTGAAGGATCAGACGCTGGGTCATACCAAACGCGGAATACTCGTTGAAGCTCTTCCTGTGGGTACACAAGCGTCTGTGGGCCATTGTTTAGAGACAATAACTCTTCAATAGAAGGCCGCTCTCCTTTTTTGCCGACAGTATGGACGACCATTTCTTCCGATGTGAAGGGAGATAGCGGCAAAAACTTGATACTGTCCACGAAGAGTGGTAACTTGGACACATTACGGATCTGTGCCTCCACAATGGCCTCTCCCTGTTGCTGTGACGCCGGTGAGTTCTGCTTGAACGTAATGACCAGAGGGTTCTGCACTGCAAACCGGTAAAATTTCCGCAACGACTTGTTCTCCCCCGTGACGGGGTCTACGTAGGCCACACCCACTCGTAGAACGTGATTCCCCACTTGGTTGAGTGGGTAGTCCACTACCATATCCAGACTGGAGCCAGCAGGTAGAATTGCTACAGGATTAGGAGGAGGGAGTTTCCCTGTTCGAGCGTAGCGGTTGTCATGGAGCTCCACACGGTCGTTGGCACATTGAATATTGGCTGAGAGCCCCACATTTTGTAGCTCGCATGAGTATGGGTTGATGACGCTGATGTAGCTGCTGAAGGTGTTGCCTAGGAAGATCTCTCTGTTATGGAATAAAAAATTACAATTAAGAAAATATGTCAGAGTATCAAGATATGACAGCCGCACCCGAAGCTGTCAGGTAGGATCAGCATACTGGAAAGCGCAAATTCATGCTGCGTGGAACTGGAATCGTCCATGGACATGGGCAGCATGGAACCGCCACTAGATCCCTGTACGTACAGCTTGGGCTTGTATAACCGCATCACTACGCAAATGATTTCATTGTTAAAATTAAGCAGTATTCCATCATAAAAGAGAGAAGGAAGGATATAAAACAATGGACACCTTTGAGGGTAGGCTGCACGGACGGAGGCGGTGGAGATGGCGTGGGTACCGCGCCCCCGCCAGAGGAAGGCGGGCCGCTGGTCGCGTACGAGGAGCTCATCCTGATACGTCGATATTCTATCGGATGTTGCTCCAACTGTCAGGTTTGCTACATTCGTGCCACATCCAAACTGATTGTCAAAAGGCTGCCGCTCATTCGCCTATTGACACGAGGAGAGGAAGATGTTGGCTCGCTCGCTGTTCCGCGCTGCCTCAAGCGCGCGTAAGTCGCTATCGCTGACTGCTGCTTCCGCTAACTTCGGTGCCACTCAAGTTGCGCGCTTCTCCGACGCCCCAACGGTATAACTCGCTTTGAAATTCTGCTCTAATTCAACCAAAACCTCACATATCGTCGTGGTTTTTATCATTAGATGCACGGTACGACGATCCTGTGCGTCCGTAAGAACGGCAAAGTGGTGCGTCGTACAAACTGCTAAAATGGCAGTATCAGGGATGTTAATTCACGCTGTTCTGTGGCTTAATCCTGAACAGTGCTTGATCGGAGACGGTCAGGTGTCGCTGGGCCACACTGTGGTTAAGCCCAACGCCAAGAAAGTGCGTCGCATCGGCGAACACATCGTGGCAGGTTTTGCCGGCTCTACGGCCGATGCGTTTACGCTCATGGAGCGTCTGGAGGCCAAGCTGGACGAGTACCCGGGCCAACTCACCCGCTCGTGCGTGGAGCTGGCCAAGGACTGGCGGACGGACAAGTATCTTCGTCGTCTCGAGGCTATTCTGATCGTATCGGACATCAACCAGTCATACACGCTCACGGGCAACGGAGACGTGCTGGAGCCCCATGATGGCATTATCGGCATCGGCTCGGGAGGCACCTACGCACTTGGTACGTCTAATTAATGATGGTTAATTGTTGAAGCGAGGATGGTAAACCTGACAATCTGCCACTGTTGTATGGACACCGTAGCTGCTGCTCGCGCCTTGATCGACCAGGACCTGGACGCTGAGACGATTGCTCGCAAGTCTATGAAGATTGCCGCTGACATCTGTGTCTACACGAACGGAAACGTTGTCGTGGAGATGCTGGAGGAGGGCAAGGACAACAAGGAGGAGAACAAAGAGGAATAAGCGGTCTAGACCATAGTGTATTGGAGTTGCTGCAAAGCACTACAGATATCACAATTCTGCAGGAATGCTTGAAATCAATACGTAAATGTCCGCTATTCAAATGTTTGCGGTTAAATTTATCGACAAGGAACAGACGGATGCAAGATATGAATATGATAAATCATAGTCTGGCAATGAGAACACTAACAGTTGTGGCACTAACTGCATCAACACCACCCCGCCTGATAAATTAGACTAGCTCGACTAGTTCTACAATAGTCGACAGGTTCTTCATCGTTAGTGTATGGGTGGTATCTGCCTACAGCCCGCTGCTACTTGCTCATTCGTCCCTTGCTTGTCGAAAAAATCGTGACAGTGGTTGGAAGGCGTGTATAAATGTATTGGTGCGCTTGTGCGCTATCCTGTTCCTGCTTAAATGTTGTTGGCGATGACGGAGTTGTACTTGTCGATGTTGCGCTTCAGGATGTCTTCTAGCGGGCCCATAACCCGCTTGAACGTTTTACGGTCCAACGTGAGGCACTTGACCTTACCCTTCGCTGTCACTGTTGCCTGGCGCGGTCGAGTCGTGAGCAAAGCGATCTCACCGAAGTAGGCGCCTGATGTAAGCTCGCCCATTTCCACGGCCGCATCTGCTGGTGAGAGCTGCTTCGTACACACTGCTACCCCTTCCTCAATAATGTAAAACAGGTTACCGTCATCACCCTGAGTGATAATGACTTCACCGTCACTAAACGTCTCGGTCTTGAGAGCATCTGCAACGGTGAGACGCTCGTACTCGCTCAGCGACTCGAGCAGCGGCACGCGCTCAATGAAGCCCTTGTGTGCCTCGCGCTTCTTTAATGTCGTCTCCATGATGATGAACTTGAACGTCTGTCGATCCAATGCCCATGCCTTCGAGTGCTGCACAGCCTTCACGGTAGCAGCACGTGGAGCGTTGTACATGAGCGCCAATTCACCGAACGACATCGCCTCTGTGCACTGTATTAAGCCAAGCAAACGTAAGTACTACGATATCAAAAAAATATCCTACTGCATCGAACGCAACGCACCGTTTGGACGAGCACGCCGTCCTTGTAGACCTCGCAGATACCGCTCTCAAGGATGTAAAAGTTGTCTCCATCGTCTCCCTGCTTGATAATGATGTCACCAGGCTCGAATTCCTTTGGGAACATGGCGTCCAACACGATATCGTGCTGCTTCTCATCCAACGACTTGAACAGGATATTCTCGGCCACCATGCGACTGATTCCCTCCCTCTCTTCTGCAGACTTGGGATGCACCACACGCTCGAATTGGCGGGCACTGTCGCGTCACATTCAGATCAAGAAGTGGTCAAGTTAGTGCAATCAGCATCAGACAGGACGGAAAGGCAGGTAATTCCCATCACTAACCTCAATGGGTCGATAGTTTCAGCAGACACCGAAGTGCGTCGTCCCTTGGCCATGATCTTTGGAGGCGGCACGCTGGCAGCGATCTCCCCCACGGCGTCTCCGCCCTCGTCCTCGTCCTCGCTCTCGCTGTCGTCTGAGTGATCTGTAAGTGCACACAGACACGAGACCCCTCGTTAGATCTCGCCTCTCTCTGCCATCATTGAAAGTCCAACCGTCGCGTACATTGAGAGCGCGGCGAGGCGGGATTGTCGTCCTTTACTCCGGGCTTGAGGCGCGGCGTGGCCTCTTCCGGGTAGTTGGTCTGCAGATACTGGATGATATGCAGGATGGGGTTCTCCGGTTTGGCCAGTAGCAGCGACTCCACGAGGTTGATGAAGAGCGTGTTGATGCCTTTCTTGTGCAGGTAGTCCTGCAGCTCCTGCTGTACGCCTTCTGCGTCCGTCATGGTCTCTGCTTGGTGCTGTAAGGGTCTGTCTTTGGTAGTGAGCGAAACGAGATCGCTCACCTGCGTGCTGGGAGAGCCTTGAACTAAACTGAGAGCCTGGCTGGCTGGCGTCACGAGATTTTCGCTCCAAAATGGAAGAAACTGCTGCGCGTGGAGGCAACAGACGCTGAACCTACACGAAAGATCGCTCACAAGTCTGCCTTTGTGTGTAGTCGCACTGGACGCGATGGAGCTAGTCCCGAATTAGAAGGCGTCAGTGCTGGCGTTGGTTTCGTGTGCCTCCTCGGCTCAATCTAAGTTAAGACCAAAAGTTGCCCCATCCATAGCAAGTTGCACTAGCTAAGTTGCACTCAGATCTCAGAAGTTTGCCACAAACGCACAGAAGTTACAACCGACCAAAATAACAACCCAAACTCCAATACAAAAGAGTTGTTCTTGTAAAACATTATTGTAAAGAGTGTGCATGGCGTTCATGAAGGACTTCACAGCATTCTAAGCGAATGGCATCCCTTCAGTTGGCACACCGATTTCAACTGTTCGGAAACGTGTTCCGAATGAAACAATTGCGAGGTGTCAATTGATCAACTCAGGGACAACAGCGATGTCAACGTCATGGCCTGGCCAAGATGCACCAGCTGATGGAACTGACTTGGATCATTTGCCCCCGATGCGGGGGCATCTTCTTGTATGCTTCTTAGTAACTTAGGCCATTCTATCGTGGCGATTCGCCATCCCCGAGGACAATATGAGGTGAAATTAGGAGTACCTAGCTACCAGACTAAACAATGGCTACGGTTGCGAGACTTGGAGTACCAAGCGTCAGCTGATTCTCCACTCGATCGATTGAATGGACAGGTCGTGAAGTAAACTGCAGTAACGTCTCCATGAAGAGAATAGTTTACTTGTAAGTCCAGGGTACCATCATCTCAGACATCCAATTGAAGTGGTTTCAAACGAACGTTGCTTTTGGGATTTTTTCACCAATAAAAATACGGGTGTGCTCTGATTGGATCGAAACCACGGCGTCAAGGCGACCAGTTTCCTCTAGGCAAGACACCCCTTCCTTTCTCTATTTAATATATATGGAAGTCATGAAATAGATCCTTCCTTGATATCCCTGCCTCTCATTCGTCAGCTCTCGTGCGTGGCACAAATAAATTTACCACGACCAATCGCTATGGGTAAGAAGCAGGGAGGTGTCAACACCAAGGTGGAGGCCGCCAAGGCCAAGAAGGCCGCCGCCAAGGCCACCAAGGACGCTGCTAAGGCTGCTGCGGACGCCGCTGCTGAGTCCGCTGAGTGGTCCAAGGGATCAGACATGCGCGCCGAGAAGCGTCGCCAGGAGGAGGAGCGTAAGCGTGCGGAACAGGAGGCTAAGAAGGCCGAGAAGCAGAAGCTATTGGCGCTGGAGGAGCACGCACTGGATGAGGATAAGCACGCAATCCGCAAGCAGAAGAAAACGGTTAAAGAGGTGGCCAAGCCCTGGGAGGAGGCGATCAAGCCCTCGGTCAAGAAGAACAACCGCGGCTCCAAGAAGCCCTCGGCCTTTGCGTCTCTTCAGAACAATGGAGGTAGCAGTGGGAAGATCACTCAGGCTGAAATGGCGGCGCTCAGAGAGGCTGAAGAGGCCCGTACGGCTGGTAAACCTGGTAAAAAGGCTATCAAGTTCGAGAACAACTTCCAAGCCAACAGAAACAGAAACCAGGATGAACCCACAGAGGCGCGCAGTCTGGACGCGGCGCTGGATCTACTAAGTGTTGGCGACAAGGAGTTGGAGAAGCACCCCGAACGCAGAGCGAAGGCCGCCTACAAGGCCTTCGAGGAAGTTATGCTACCTCAGGTCAAGGAGGATTACCCGGGATTGAAGCTGTCGCAGTACAAGCAAAAACTTAGCGAGATGGTAAGTCAGTGGCTGTTCTTGAACCTATGGATTGGTGGATTACTGACTGCTGGTGACCTATGGCTTTGTTTTTATAGTGGCGCCGTTCTCCAGACAACCCGCTGAACCAGGAGAGTTTGGCCTACAATGCAAAGAAGCAGTAGAGATTAAAATCTCCTTTCCGGCAGATTTGCCAGTGTTCAAATCACTGTAGACTTGGCCATTATTGTTCATTCAGGGCAGATTAAGTACTCACTTTTGGTGCGTCCAGCGTCGCCAAGGCGAACGGTGCGCCACCTACCCTACCTGGCTGGAATGTAATCCCGTTTGTATTGAGTGCCTTCTAAAACCTACATAAAACGGTTTAATGACTACGGTTTGGGTCATTAAACGGGTCATAAAACTTCGTGATAAAACGATTGGTGAGATCAGGAAATGGGAACCTTCAAAAACCCATATAAAACGATTTTATCAGTTTAATCGGTAATTTATTCTAATTCTTCCACTTAAATTCACTTGGTGAGCGATGAACTTTGTGCCGAGTATTTGTGTCTTCGGTGTTGTTGGCCAGCCCACCACTCCCAACAAGGTTGAAAGCATGAGCGACAGTCCAATTGATTCCACAATTACCTCCACACAGAAATCCACAGCGCTATCGCTCAACCAGCCTCTACATAGAGCACCAATTATGTTGTCAAATCCGATCCACAGCGTATTTGAACGCGTCACAAATGTAGAGCGCAGTGGGTGGATGCAAATTTTAAAATAACGTCATTGGCAAGCTATTGGTGCCGGATACGGACAGCATCCGGTGCTAGTCCAGTAGTGTTCGTTGCGACATCAAAAAGCTCCACCACAAAATCGATTTTTTATAGTCCTGCTCGAGCCACTTTCTGTCTTCAATACACGATCTGCATTTAGCCTTCATATCGTAGAAGGTCAAGGCAAAGGCATAATCTCCGGAAATACACAAGGCAGTGTTCTGAAAGACAATCGCTTGAATCCGTAAGGTTTGGTAAAGCAACCGTATTAAAGCAACCCTTTTAAGCAACCATCACTCTATAGCAACCTTACCCACTGAATTGGGGTCGATGGAGATGACGACGTCGTTCTTAATTCTTCATATTCTTGCCAAGTTTTCCGGGGCATATCTGATCGACCTTGGTTGCTACAGCCATGGCCTGCATTGTTCTAGCTAGATCAGCAGGAATGACAAATGTGTGCATGTAGTCTGAGGGTCACGCCACTTCCCAGTGGTGCTCCATCGACCGATCTCGAAGGCAAGGGTCTTCCAGCTGAGCAGGATATTTCTCCAACATCTCCAGAACCTTCAGATTAGGGGCGATCTTTGCCCAAGTTAATAGCTCTTTCAATGATACTTTTAAATGACTTGGGTACTTGTGAGCAGCTAGATAGTCTGCCCCTCGTGAAAGTTTCGACTGCTTGAGCTGCGTTCTTGGCTTTCCTTTGCATATTGGTTTCGGTACATTAATAATATCTACGTGTCACACAGCTGTCTCTGTCGTGGCCTCAATAGGTTTTGGTTCCTCGCTTGGACAGGGTTCCGCCTTAATCGATATCTCAAGCGACGCTGAGGATTCTTTTTCTGAATCATTTGATTTAGGTGATGGTAACTCGTATTCTTCCCCATTTTGAACTGGCTCCGTAGTCTGAGTTGGCGGTACGTCATCCTCCAGCTCACTATCATCATTGTGTGCGATCACCATTTCTCACGAATTCGTTCTCGAATTTCTGCATTAGTTTCACTGTCTCCATTGTGTCTGTAAGATCAAATGTACGAGAAGAATCGCTTTCCGTTTCACCATCAGTGATATCTTGGTCGGAATTAACCGGCCTAGCCTTCTCGCATTTTAATCCCAACTCTATGGTTTCTTTCCACGTATTAAGTTCTTGATAAAAATCAGCACTTGCCAGACTTGACAAACGGTAGAGAAGAGGTTCCAGGATCGCCTTTGCGTAGGAGTATTTTTCAGCCGACGATAATACGACTTGATGTACGCGCTCGTTACGGCGAAGGCGAACGTAAACCACCTCTTTTATCGGCTTTTGAACTCCTGTCTCCTTAGACTGTTCATCATACGGCGACCCATTCGGCGATCTTATCTTGGGCGACTTTAGCTTTGACATTAACACAATCGGGTGCAATGTGGCTGCCGCCACTGCTAAACCATCCCTGTCATCCAGCGCACATAACATGCTCCATCGTTCACCGATTGACATAGCAGGAAGTAGCTCGAATTCATACTCCTTGTCTGCCACATACATCCAATGGCGGCATGGCAAATGATGACTGCTGTAATATAAACATGTACATGTTCACTCGACGTCGTCGCATCTGTGTGTCTCATTGAAACAGTGGACTTTCCAACCGGAGACACTTGGTGCGATTCGTTCGCATTTTGCATCGCCCATAAGCGTTACAAACCGTTACCACTCTTGTTTAAGCGTTGTTAGTATGTTCGTAGACAATCTGGTGGCAACACCACTCAGAAACCGAGGGACGGTCTTCGGTACCCGTGTGGTCGAGCTATGCTGACCAATTGTAGAAGTGACCAATTGTAGAAGCGATCTTTGCGCGATAGTGATCTGATGTTGAAGTAGCCCCGTAATTGTCTTGTCGATCCGAGTTTTGTGCCCCAACAGCATTTTAACTTGGTTCCAATTTGATTCAAAACGGTTGGTGGTCGTATTTCCAGCCGTGAAAACTTGCTTCGTGAAAAATTGGACCACCTATCCCGGCTCGATTTCCAATTCTTTTCAAAATACGTGAAAATCGTCCGTCGTTTCTGCTCTTCACAATAACGCCTTAATGCATCATATCGTGTGTTGTAGTCAGTCTCACTGGTGCTTTAAACTTTGAAAAAGGAAGTAAGATTGTAATTAAAAAAAATAAGGTAATTATACGAAGTATTACCAGTACAACAGCCGTGTCATCAATTCGATGAGGCCTTCCTGTTGAGAAATAGTCAAGCGGAACGTTGATCGCTTCATTACCATCTTCCAATAAGCAATTGCGTGAAACTGACACAGCACAACTTTGGCATCTGGAAACGATTCCATCAGTGCCCACCATTCTACAAAGTCCTTGTCAATCACGACTGACACGATGTTACGCCACCCAGGATTCTTTTCCTTGAAGTAAGTAAGGATAGCCGAAATAGCAACAGCCTGCTGATCCCGGCAGATGAAATCTAGAACAAGGAATCCCCTTCCAGTAGCTGTAGTCACCAAAAGACTCCATGTAATTAAATAACCAAACCAGAATTTGGCGTTAGGCACAAGGTTGCTACACGGTTGCCATACTGAGGTTGCTGAAAGGTTGCTATAACCAAATAAAGTTGCTCAAAGGTTGCTGTAAAGCACGTACACAAGTGATACCCCAGACTGCTGGTGCCGTGCGTGAAGTCCATGTCGAGCGTATCGCCCCATCTCTCAAACATTAATTTTGCACCTTGTTTTGCCTTACGATCCCGCATGTGATATCCATCTGGTATTGGAGGATGAGAACGTCGTTCCCTTCCAACTCAACCAGAGCGTGGAGAATTTTTTTTAATCGCTCTTCATCGAATCTTGGCCGACGACATTGCGGATTAGGTTACGGGTTTGTTGTGGTGTAATTCTGCAGCCTGCTAGTATGTAAAATTACAATTAAGATTATCGTGTTACCTTCTTGTTTTCAAAATTAAGCTTTCTCACCAATCCGGTCGTTCAGGAAGTCGGTAATTTGCTTGGATGAGCTCGGGCATCGGCAAGCGTCTTGACATCTTCGCGATCTTGTTCATCAATCGTCGACGGTTTAGTTGTAATGTATGATGCAGCATCTGCACGCGTGTTGAGATGGGAGTGGATGTAATTCTATAAGTAAAAAAAAAGGAAACACATGTTAATGGCTCACTAAGTTTCGCAAAAACAAACGTACCATACCTCATTTCTGATAAAAATCGGTATGTTCCGTCGTCCACCTTCATCACAGTCGGCGTGAAGCGCGCCAAGCACCCACCGTATCGGGCTTTGCGATTGCGTTGGCCAGTGGAACGCGAATTTTGTGAGACACCGTGCGTACAGCGGAAAATTCTGTAGCTCCAACGAAAACTTGCAGGTATTTCATCCGCGTGGTTTCTACAAATATAAGTAGTTCATGCTCGTTAGAGATTTTGAATATTTTTAAAATCCAAATCATTGATGTACTTATATGTTGAATGTTGCCGATGCCTCCGAACCGCGAATACGGAAATGGAGATTGTGGTTTTTTATGTAGGATGCGAGTATCGTGTAAACTCGGCCCACTACTTGGTCGGCACTTTGGGAGATGAGGCGATGATATTCACATTTTGTTCTTGCTGCACTGCCATAGTATCAAGCTCAGCAATATGCTGGCTACCTCGCTTGCGTGGCTTGTACCCATCGAAATCTCCTTCGCTGCTAGCCATTGTATCCACGCCCTCCAGGTACTCTGTACTTCCCACGCTCTCGACAGTGTCCTTGTTCTCCACATTCTTGGCACTCTTCACACTATCCACACTCTCCACTCTTCTCTTTGACGCTTGCTTCTCCGCTTCACTCTCCCCATTCTCACCACGCTCTGACCCCTCCACACTATGACCACTCTTCTCTTTGACGCTTGCTTCTCCACTTCACTCTCCCCATTCTCACCACGCTCTGACCCCTCCACACTATGACCACTCTCCATATTCTTCGGCGCCTCCACACTCTCTACTATCTCGCCACCTTCCGCGCTCTCCACTTTCTTGTTACTATCCACTTCCTCGCCATTCTCCATTTTCTTGCCAGTCTCCACTTTCTTCAATATGTTCTCAATATCAGGCCGCTTCGATTCTTTTTTCTTCGTGGGCTTCACGGGTTTGTTACACAGTGATTTGTCGTCTTCAGGAGCTCGTGGTCGCTTGTTATTGCCCTTGTCACTTATAGTCGTTGTCGCTGCCTTCAAATCCGCAAAGCATGGCTACTGTGTTAGCTCCGGTAATCCAAAACCATTTTTGCTAATCGTATAACAACTTCACAATCATACGGCAACCCTACAGCAACTTTATCGTACGGCAACCATACAGCAACTAGACTGACATAACACCATCGAGTATGAATGATAAACGTACCCGATGTTTTGCGAGTTCCCCCAGGTCGTCCGGTTTTCCTAGACGACATTTCTTGCGCTTGTTTACGCGCTGAATGGCAACATAAGCGATGCATACATACTCGGTAACCTAGAACAAGTCTTCACACAAATGTAATACTGCTTACCGCTTTGCTTTCTTGTTTTCAACGCTTTATGGTCGTCAAGGACGGCGCCTTCGTTGCCTGGAGTGAAATCTTCATCACGGTAATGATCCTTCTCGATGCCGAGCGTTATTTGAGCGTAGTGTGGCGCATCACTACCCTTAGACCCGCCTCGGAAGCGTCGGCCTCCGACACCAATCCTACAGTAGTCGTTAACAGAAATAGCGATCAAAGTTCTACACAGTCGCCATAGCTTACCGCTCATGGACGGCAACGCCCCTTCTTCTCCCGAGTCGTGAACTACTGGCCTTCACGCGTTGTGTGCTCTGTACCCCTCCTCGCGTTCAACGAGTCCCCCCCGTGCCGCGTGTCGGCCTCGTTACTCGGATTTTGGGAATGAGCGGTTCAGAGTTGACGTACTTAGGAAATTATTTACAGTAATTGCGTACTTAACACCAGGAGCCGAACTTAAGAGGTAACGTAAGTTTTGAAAAATATTTTACGCTAATGTTTTTAAATTTTACTAAAGCAACCTTAAGTCCTTAAAGCAACCTTACATGTCTCACGGTTAAGGTTGTGGTAACAACTCCAAAGTATCTTCCTCTAAGCATGTACAATACACAAGATGGTCAGTACATGCGTACAGCATAATAGCAGTGCAGCACCTCCGCGGATAGAGACCAAAAGCATAAGGACATGTGGCTCGCGGAATGGAGGTTCAGCGGAAGAGCTACAGTATATGGCAGGTAAGACACACGTATATCGATAGTGCTAACATTTTCA